CAGCGCGGGAGAGCACTTCACCCACGCCGCCTCCTGCACTGTCCCCGACTTTGGCCTCGGATCCCACGTTGTCATCAGGATCCAGATTCAGCAGCTCAAGAACCCCGGAGGGGGTCTCCAGGGCGGATGCGGTGGGTGGGAGTCAGGTACCTATTGCCAATGGGATGAGGTCTGGCGCCAAGTGCGGTTGTCTGTAACGTCGGCGCGTCACTCCGGCCATGCCAAGCGCGTAGCTGCTCACCTGGGGCCAGCTGCCCCACGGTCCCCCCGTGACAGAGCCCTCAGCCCAGTGCTGGGCCAGGGGCCATGCGCCTCCCGTCCACGCTCCAGCCAGGAGCAGAGAGGAGCTGCAGGGAGAGGGGCAGGATGGGGCTCCCCCCCCCAGCCATGGCATCCCCCGCCAGCTGCAACAGGGCTGGGATCACTGCCTCTGGCTGGGCATGCAAACAAGAGGACCTGCCCATGTAGGACCTGGTGGCCCAGGGTTGGCATCCAACCCTCATGGAGAAGAGGTTCACCCTCTCTCCGTCACGAGACTGTGACCCACCATGGCAGGGACACTGCTAGTGCCTGCCCACCCAACCCTGGACATCACCCCAGGGGCTGGGGACGAGCACTCACGTCAAACAGTTGCTCCTCGGTCCTGCACCATGGCGCTGGGCTCCTGTGGGAGGGAGGAGGGATGTAGATGTCAGCGCTCCCATGGGATTGGGGTGCAGGGGTAGGGGGGCCAGGTGTTTGTTGGTGACAGCAGTGACCCACAGGCAGGTGGGCACAACCCCACTGAGGCTCCAGGAGCTGACTACAGCCCAAGCCCCATCACCTGCAAGACACGGTGAGCAGCAGCTGGCAACCCTCATGGTGGCCCTGGCTGGGACCTAAGGGACAAGAGAGGTTCCGAGCGGTGCCAGGGCTCAGTGACAGACATCCCAGTGAGGTCCCATCACCATTCTCCTGGGACTGTATGTCCTGGAGCACAGTGAAACAATACCCCAAAGCCTGGAGCAGGGTCTGAGGCAAGAGCCTGGCACCACAGAGGAGACAGATGAAGAGGAGAAAATCACAGTGTCCCTGGACTTGTCCTGCGTGCACATCTTTCCCTGGAGATCAGAGGGGCCATGGGCATCTCCTGCGGCGTGGTGGGCCATGGGAGGAAGGAGGACCTGTCGCCATCTCTCCAGGTCTCCAGAGAAGGGCTGCAGCTCATCAGTTCTGCCTGGCGTGGCTGCCTTGGTCTGCCATTCTTCACGAAATGGCTCAAACCTCCAGCGTGGAGGAGCCCAGACCCTTCCAGACCAGAAAGCCGAGGGACACAAAAAATGCAGCAGGTTCCTGCTTTTCACTTAGCCGACATTCAGCTAGGCACCTTTCCTCGGGCTCTTCTACGCTGACCCAGTCCTGCCCCATCCCACCTCCCTGCCAAGGGCTGCAGGCACGTGCTGTACCAGGCCCGTTGGACTCCAGCAGAGCCAGCCCCAGAGCAGGTCCTGTCTTTGAAGAACACAACCAGGATTTTTACCCAGATCCGTTTGCTTCCTTTTACTACCAGGGGCTTTACCACATGTGTCCTGGTGCTGGTTTTTTGGGGGTAAGCCAAGGCCAGCTCCTGGGGCTGCTCAACGTGGGCAGCCCTGGTGGGATGACATCACGCCAGGTGATTTCCCCCAGCTCCCTTCCACGAAAACCATCTTTCCACAACTGCAGAACCACAGGCGAGCGTGCAAGTGAGTGAATGTGTTGAGTGTCCGCTACCAGCACCAACAGCATCATTTGCTCAGTGGTAACAGCCTGGAGGCCGTAGCAGGAAACAAATCCCCCAAATTGTGGGCCACCGACAGCCAAGCAGATGGCATCCTCATCAGTGCTGCCCTGGAGCAAAGTGGTTGGGTGGAAAGATTGGGAGATACCTGGTGCTGGGAGCTCCAGCCAGGGTGGGCTGTCCTCTCTGAGCACAGCCAGCGCCAGCCTCTCTAGGGCAGGGAAGAACAACCAAGAAATGACCAGTTGGCTTCACCATTTCCTAGACTTCAAGGCAAGAAGGGCTCCTGGAGACATCTGTCCCTGCCTGTACATTGCTGGCCATGTTGAAACCCAGCAGTGCAGAAGGCTACAGTTTTTGGAGGTTTGCAAGCTGTATGCATCAGCAGAGATCCCCCAGGTCAGGAAAAAGTAATCCTGGTGGATGTCCCCAAAGAGCCCAATAACAGAAGAAAACGCATTTCTTGCTGAAGGGGCCGGCAGCAGCAGGTCTGCAGCATCTCCCACGCAAGTCAACCAGTGACCTGCCTTTTCCCCACAGTGCAGGTACCAGCAGGGTGGGAACTGTCATGCCTCTGCATGCCCCAGACCTTAGAAAACGGATGGGGAAATGCAATCAAAAAAGGTAAGCAGAAACAGGGTGGGCAGGACAGGGCAGGTCCCACGCTGCAGTCAGCCTGGCGCAAGCCTCGGCCTGCCTATCCCCACTGCACAGCTCACACCACCGCGCTTGGGCTGGTTGATTTGTCGGCAGCAGGACTTTGGGTGCTGTGCCACAACCCTTCAAGTCCTCCAGCCCAAGGGACCACACGGGCACAAGGAAGAGGAGGAACCTACCTGCTGCCCCGTGTCCTCCGCTCCGGGCTGTTTTCTGCTGCTGTCGTCTCTTCCCCAGTCGTCAGCCTGTTCATGCAGACTCAGACTCCCGTGAATATCCGACACTTCATCTGCTGACCCCAGTCCGGTCTCCTCTAGGCAGATGCTGGCTCCTTCCTGCACCAGCTCTCCTGGGATGCTGGGACTCGACCCTCCCAACAGCCGCTGGCTCAGGAGATTCCCGTGGCCGCGCTCCCGGGGGCAGTGCCAGCATCCTGCAGCGTGCCTGCCACGCCAGACCCCTTGCCTGTGCGTCTGCTGTCACGAGTGCTGGAGCTGGCTGGTGTGTTCGGAGCTGGGGTGGCGGAGCGGCTCTGCTCCCCACCCTTGCTGCTCTGGGCACCCTTCTGGACGGCTCCATTCTGCAGGCCACCCGCAGGGACAGTCCCATTGCGAGCCCGCTCCTGCTGGAGCCGGTTGCTGCTGTGCTCCAGCTCCTCCGTGCTCGGCTCCCGGCTGCCGTCAGGCAGGGGACCGTCCTGCTGCTCATGGAAAGTGGGTTTCTTCCCAATGTGTGTGACACGAAACCTGTAATGGGGGCAGGACGAATCAAAATCCTTTCCCTCCTCTCATCCAGCTGTATTTCCACTTGCCTGCACCTCCAGCCTTGCATCTCCTCTCTTTGTCATCAACTGGTGCCAATCTCCAACCTTTCAGACCCATTCAACACCACTGACCTCCACTCTAGCCATGCCCCCACTGACTTAACCTCATTTTTCCCTTCATTTTTGACAAAACAAATAGTAAGAGAAAGAGAAAGAGGTCAATTCAGATGTTAGCTGGTGCAGCCCCTGCCAGCCTGTCCTCCCTGCAACAAGATGGGTCACAGCTCTGGGAAATGCTTCTGAGATGCAACCTGGATGAACAGGAGCTTGTACAGAAACTCAGGTTCTGATTTAGAAGGTGAAATGCAAACCGGCTGAGCCTGCTGAGGAAGCAAGGGCCTTACAGAGCTACATGGACATTGTGCCCAGTGACTGACTGCCATCAGGGGAACAAAAGCCAGTGTTTTTGGCAGATAGTGCACCCTAAGTGAGGGCAGGGACAGGTGTTTGGCAAAGCGAGCTATATTTGGGTACAGGGATCAAAGGCAGGAGGAGCTATTTGGCTAAAATCTGCCAAAGCACATTGTGCGCCATCCCCTGGAATGATGGATGGTGCCTAGGTGGTTCACCAAGGTTCTGCCATGTATCAGGTAACAGCTCAGAGCTCCACAGTAGGCAGGAGAACAGCTGCAGAAGTTGGTCTGATGACCACAAAGGGTGCATTTGTAATCAGAGGTGTTGCAATATTGCACCTGGGGAGAAAAGAGAAGTTAGGGATCTGCCATAACTTTAGGATTTGTGAGGGGAAACATATAGGCAAAGCCTAAAATTCTGAATTGCAAGTGAACTGGTTGTGACCAACACTGTGATTCCTCTTTGTAAGTAGTGCAGCTGGACCAGCGGATGGGAAATCTCTTCCATGGTTAGCTGATGTCCACCAGCCAAAAATGCTGATCCCACCACAGAGCCATCATGCAGCCTGTGACTCACCCAGCAACCACTCTCCCTGCACTTGAGTCACACGTGGAGAAGCTGCAGATGGCCCTGGCTCTGCTGAGGTTCAGCTGCGAGTTAGCATCAGGGCAAAATACAATTTCAGCAGCAAAGTTCAAGGGCTGCTGGGGTTGAAAGAAGAACAAGACCCGAAGGTTAAGCACATGGCAGTATGGCCATTCTGAAGGAAGAAGCTGAGAAGAAAGGTCCAAGAGGTAAGAATAGATGCCAGATGCGATTCCAGAGATGGAGGAGACCACTGCCAGACTGAGGACCAGTCGGCAGCCTGTGGACAGTATAGACCCCTCAGCACTGCAGTCAGAAATCCTACTCATGATTGGAATGGTCAAGAAGAGAAATGCTCCAGCTCTGAACGAGGTACTCACAGGACTGCTTGGCTCAGGCCAAGCAGCAGCAAATGTGACTTTTCAGGTCTGTCCAGGTGTTTGGAGACAAGGCACGACACTGTGATTCAGGAAGACCAAAGAATGTTCCAGTCCCAAAGTGGGATCAGGAGGAGGCACAAGTGGCAGGATTATTTCTTGGTAATGCCGTTCAGCAATGTCAGCCTGGAAGGGCTGGGAACAAATTCAAAGGAGCAGGCAGGGTTTGGACTGGAGGGGGCACAAGAGGTAGCGTAATCGGCCTCCGGATGGTGAGGGGAAAGGCAGGAGAATGCTGGATGTCTGCCTAGTCAGCATCAGCGAGGCATTTGATTCAGTAGGATGTGACACACTGCAGCTGATCGGGCTAAGGACGGAGGGTCAGACGCAGATGCCTCGGTGGGCGAGCTCTGCCGCTGACAGCAGGTGTGCAATGGGAGGTACAACCATGGGGTGGTCTGCAGACAGGAGCATGTGATGACAGAGGACCCCTTCAATGTGGCTGTTCAATAGCGTCGTAGAGGTAGTAAAAATGAAAGCTTTGGTAAGGTTTAGGGAAGGCCCTAAGGTGGATGGTAAATTGTTCAATAATATGAGAGTACAGATCCTATAATGCTAACTACCTCAGAAGTACAGAATAATTTAGGTGGGAAAAGCCCTCAGGAGGTCTCCAGTCCAACTCTCTGCTCAAAAACGGGCCACCTCCCACCCTCAGTCAGGCTGCTCAGGGCCCCTTCCAGTGAGGTTCTGGAAATCTCCGAAGATGGAGATTGCACCATTTCTGGGTAAAATAGTTTTTCCTTAAATCTTTTCTGGATTTCTCTTGTTGCAACTTGCAGCCATTGCCTCTTGCCCTTCTCTGCGCACCTCTGAGAAGTGTCTAGCTCCATCTTCATTTAAACTCCCCCCACCCCTTTGAGTAGTTTTAGAGAGCAACTAGATTCCCCCTTTAGACTTTCCCAGGCTAAACGAACCCAGTTCCCTCAGCAGCTCCTCACATGCCACGTTCTCCAGCCCCTGATGTTCTTGGTGAATGTCCACTAAATTTGCTCCTTTCCACTCCTTTCCTTTCTTCAGCAATGATCCTGTGCCTACCAGACAGGGACCAGACTAAGTCAGTGAGCTGTAGATAATAGGGAAGGGGACTGGACTCTCAACCACTGTTTTCAAAACAAAAGGAATTGCCAAAAAAAAAAAGAGAGGAACAAGACCTGAAGATTGCAACAGAAGAGGTGGGTTAAAAGAGCTTTTGTAAGTAGGATCACTCATGAATCAAGGTACTTTGTGCAATCAGGATATTCGTGGTAAATAAGACACAGCAAGGGCAGTCCCAGAAAAGTCATCTAGGATCTGGAAGAGCAAAGGGGCCAGCTTGGAAACAAGAACCAGAATTTGGAGGTAGTTCTGTACCTTGTGGGCACATAGGCCGCTTAGCAGTTGGACCTACACCAAGGTCTTCAGGAAGCAGAACTTTTAAAATGTAACCTTGGAGAAATGTAATTACTGTCCCATGGAGAAGGCTGATGTGACATGGGTTATTAAGTGTAAAGAGAGGCAACCAAGATTTGAGGGAAGGTGCCTTTAGGAAAGAAGACCACCTTCTCCAGCACTCAGAGGTGAGTGAGAGGAGACTGAGAAGAGCATGGACGAAGGACACAGAGGAGTGGATGGAGCTGGGCACCAGGCAGGGAATGAGATTAACCACAAATATGCAACTCTGCAGAGAAGTGGCTTACCAAACACCACCCCTTAAACTAAGGACAACTGACAGCAATGGGCAAAGAGGAAGCCAGAAGCTATTGGTCTCCAGAAGGTGTGATCTTAGCTGGAGTTCAGCATGGGTGTGATCTTAGCTGGAGTTCAGCATGGGGAGGTCTGGCATGTTTCTCCGCTTTACCAGCTCCCCATAAAGCCCCCAGTTCACCTCCCTACTGAGAATCCTAGCTCTGATGGTGGAAAAACCCACACCCCTGATGCCCACTCTGGCTCAACATTGCCATGAAAGGACTGTCTCTCTGCACCGCAACATGGAGCTTGATCAAGGCTTAGGCCCTGAATGAAGACCTACCGCAGGATCTGAGCACAGCAGAGCTTTGTGTCTCACTGGGGTGGTCATCCAGGGGCCAGCAGTTGCTTGTCACCCTGCCCTGATCACCATGGCAGGTAGGGAGCTGAGCACTGTAAGACCTTGCTTAAAGGTCTTTAAACCTTTCTGCTGAGGAATGGGGAAACCTGGGCAAGACTGCAGATTGTACTAAAGGTTACAGACCACACAGACCATGGGCAGCTCAGGAAGTCCCTTAAGGTGAGAACAGGTGAGGACTGGAAGAGCATTTGTGGGAAGTATCAGGCACACTCCCCTATTCTTATATTCCTCCCGTGGCATCTAATTACAGTCATTTTTGGAGGCCACGATGATGGAGGAGCTTAGCCACTCTTTCATTCTGACAGTGGTGGCTGTGAACTTGTACCTGGGACCTGCTGTCACCTCCTCCCCCTCCTAATAAGATCCCTAAAACTGGGGTCACTGCCCTTGTTGCACAGCAAGAGCCCTGCTCACACATAGCTGGGACAACAGGCTTTGAAAGGACGTGGATTTGGGGCTCTGCCCAGCACTTCGTCAGCAAGACAGCCCAGGCTTGAATCACCTTCCCAGAGAAGGAGGAGGGAAGCCACTGGTGCGTCATGGCCTGCCACATACCACAGGCATTTCCAGGTGCAGGAGGCACCTGTGTATTCGGGACTCCCAGCTGCAGAGCTACTACTGGGGCATCTAAATGGAGAAGAGCAAGAGGGTGCCTGGTGTCTGGCAAGTGGGGAAGGGGAGAGGAATAGGGGAACTGAGGAGACTCTCTGTGATGCTAGGTCCATCAGAGCAGATAGGCCATGTCTGGCAAGGCTTTTTTAAGTACCTGCCCACTGAGAAGACAGTTGTCTCTCCAGGATGCATCCTGCCTTTGCCATCCTTGGACCGTCCTTGTCGATGCAGTGGGTGCCTCTTCCTCTTGCTGCAGTGGATGCAGGGGGCCTGTGTGGAGCCCAAATGCACTGTGTGGTGGTGTGGTGGGCCACCATCCTGGCTGTTACGATGAGGACAAAGGCTGCAATAGAAGGACATGACAGGAATTGTTAGCTGGAGGAGATTTCCCAACCTTGGTGCAGCCTCGCTGTAGCAAGTCCTGAGAAGCAGCAGCTCTGGAGGGGACCTCCTGTGAGGACAGGAATGAGGACAATGGTGTGAAGTACTCATTGCAACCCCTGGGGGAGCAGGACTTCTTGTTGGGAAGATGCTTTATAACAAGCCAGAAAGTGGCTGGCTGCAGAGTGTGCAGGCCAAGGTGATACTCAGAGGCTTCTCCCTTACTTTCCAGGAGCTACAAGCTGGAATAGGCTTCCCTCACCTGGGCACTGGCACTGGGATGTCCCCTTCATTGTCCCCCAGCATCTCCTTGAGGGCTTCCGCATTTGCTGAAGAAAGAGGAAAAAGGGAATGTGTCAGCCAAAGCGGTCAGCAAGTCTCTGGGCCAGCCCTAGGAAATGCTCACCTTCATTTTGGATGATGCATCTCACTATCTTCTCCACAGTGTCCTCATTCAGCTCCTCCTCTTCATCTGAAAAGAGAAAACGTGAAACTGAGGGCTGGGATTCAGATACTTAGCTCGCCAGTCCCTCCCCAGGAGCAGCCACAGCAACAGAGAGGTCAGAGAAGCCTTGTGTCCCACATCACACCAGGAAGCCCCTGGGGAACACCAGATCCCTTACTCTGGAAAAGAAATGGCTCAAATGGCATCCATAGGTGCAGGGAGAGGGGGGTTGTGTGGCTCCTAGGGAGCATCACGTGAAACGAGTGTGAAGCAGGTTCGAAACAAGTTGAAAGAGGAGGGTAATCCTGGGGACAGTCCAGCCCTGGAGCCCCTGGGTGGAGGATGCTGCAGGTGCTAAAAGTCCTTAAGGGTAAATGGGACAAGTTCACAGAAAAGAAACCCACTGGGGCCTGCTAAATACAGAGAAACTATCTCTGATGGAGAAAGCCCCGGAGCTACACACTGTTAGAAGCTCATAAAAGTGTGCTGGGGAAACTTGGCTTGGTGTCTGCTCCATTGTGGTATTCATCCCCAGCGTTCATCACAACCTGCTTCTGGCCACTGTTGGAAGCAGGAGGCTTGGGTGGCTGGACCTGCAGCCGAGTCTGCAGTTATACATCCCTGTGAGCAGGTCAGAGTTATGGTCTGGTAGACAGTTGCCTCAAAGAGCGTGGTCAGGGGCTGCTGCTGTGCTCCTGGAAGCCCACAGAGATGTTTTCCTGAGCTGTGGCAACTCCAGCAGGTAAAGCCAATCCTGAAAGGTTCAGACACTGTCTCCATGTCATGTACAGCCAAGTCACTGAAGCAAGAGGAGCATATCCAAGGATGACTGGAAGCTCCCACTGCATCTGTGGGCAAGCTGAGGCAGCCACGTTTTTCTCCCGTGCATGAGAAGTGGCAGTGGGAGGTGCTGATCCTCCTGAGCACTGACGGTGGCACAGAGGAGCCAGAGGAGTTGTGTAGCACCATTTGGCTGTTTTCAAGCAAGAAAGCAGCTGGAGGAATGTGTCTTCTCTATTTCAGCAGAGACCGATGACACCACCAAACGACAGAGCTTGCATGGACTGAGCTCTGGCTTACACCCACGTTCAACGCTGCAGTGATTTCCCAACCCTGCTATCAAAGAGCTGCTTATGATGGCCTGAAGCGATGGAAAAACTCTAGAGGTCCCTTTCCAGTGTGGGGCAGAGATCTCAAGCAAGCACTCCTGTCCCTCTGGGCTGCATGAGCATAACAGGGACTAGAAGAGGACATGACATTTAGCAAACACTATGCTGGCCCCATGCCAGACCTCCTAACACCAAAGGACCAGAGCTCAGCAGGTCCTGGGTGTTCATCAGAATTACTTTTGGTGATAACACTACTCTGGGAAGGGCCAGATGCTGATTCCCACCTCCCTGGCACCACTAGCCTTCACCAGCCTGCAGAGCCAGCAGATTAGAGGTCTCTTGGGGTTGTAAACTCCCGATCCCTGGGGAACACAGTGCTGCTCTCACTGCCTCATCTCTTTTTTCCAGCCCAGTGGTATGTGATGGGTAACCCTCCCAGCCTCAGCCTGTGTCCCAGAAGCATGTTTAAGGAGTATTGGTCCATGCTGGTGAAAGGCAGCACCCGAACCCCCACTGAGCCCCTATCGCCCCAGCACTCACTGGCCTGGAGCTCCGCCAGCACGTCTTTGTTATCTGGGTCGAGCTCGTCCCGGAAGGTCCGGCACCGGTAACCCTTCTTCTTCAGGACATGGCAGATCAGGAAACCCACCAGCCCCATGATGAAGAAGACGAGGACGAGGAGGAAGACCATAGACAGGCTGTGCTGGGGGTCTGACTCCCCATCGTCGGTGCTGTTCTGGTCTGACATGCGGATCTAGGAGAAGGGGGAAGGCGGATCAGAGACCTCGGTGCTCACCCCCTGCCAAGGTCCCCGTGCCCATCGTCCTCCTCCTCTTCCTCCCATCCACCCTGGGCTGGAGGCAGCTCTGGGCTTGGGGT